ACAAGTGACCTGCCAGTCACTACAGGGCACCCGACCCTGGGCAGCCTCAGCTCCGACAGAGGACGCCTGGGGCAGGTGAGGCCCGGCGCCCAGGCTGCCTGGAGGACACCCCAGAGGTCTGGATCCCGGGAGCCAGGGCGGGAACCCCGCTCCCGCAGTCCTGTCCTCAGTGCCGGGTGTGGGCTCGAGGCTGGCTGCTCGGCGGCCAAGACACCCCTGGAGCTGCCCAGACTGAGTCCTCTGGGGGCGTCGAGCAGCCCTAACCATGGTGCACAAGGTGCCAGGGACGGGCACCAGAGCCTGTGCCAGGCGTGGGCACCAGAGCGCGCAGGACAGCGAGCGTGGGGGAGAGACTGAAAAACACGTTCGCTAGTAAATGTTTAAGTTGCGCCCCCACTTTCCCGACTGCTGCGGAAACGCGGGCTCCTAGGGGCTCACAGAGCCTCCTCGCTCTCCGGCCACTGGCTCCGAGAGCTGCACGGGGCACAAGAAACCCTCGGGCACGCGCTCCGCAAACACCACTGCACCTTCCCGTCACAGTCTCCTCTTACAAGGAGGGTCTTGGCAACCCTCCACCTACAAAGACATCGGTTCCGGTTAATGGAACAGCAAACTCTGGGTTGATTTATCCGGTGTTTACAGCTCGACATCAGCCAGATTTCAGCCAGAGCGACTACCCTGCCCTGGGCTCCCAGCACCGACTGTGGGAGGGCAGGGCTGGCCCTGCTCAGCCTGGAGCTGCTTCCCGGCCCCTCCTCACCCGGCCTCCTCCCTCCTAAGCTGCCAGGTAGCCATGGCAACCGAGCAGCTGGGGCTCTGAGCTGGCACCTGCTCCAAGGGGAGCAGGGAGCCCAGTGCTCACAGGTGAGCAGGTGAGCAGGGTTGGCAGACCCAGCGGGGAGGGGCCGTGACGGGCTCCAGGTCTGCGGGCCAGACCAGCACCTGGCCAGCCGCCGCGTTGGCAATGGTGGGCATGCGCCCTCTCCTCTGACCTCTGCTTCCCGGAGGTGGGCCCGGCCCTGCCCGCAGACAGGAGGAGCCGGCCCAGGGAGGCGGTGCCCCACCTGGTGACTGCAGTGACCGCCCCCTCCTTCTCCCCAGGCCAGCGCAGGGGCAGGCGTCAGAGCCGGAGGACAGCCCGCTCCGCGTCAGGCCGGGCGCGAGGCCCACGAGGCCCACACCTGCCGGCCGGGCCACGTGACACGGCTCCTCCCAGTCAGTGACGCTGGGACCTGGGTCCCACGCTGGAACGTGGGTCTCACTCCCACGGGGCTCTGGTGGGGGCTGATGAGAAGGTGCGTGTGAGCCAGGTCAGCAGAGCCTCTCCCCACA